CTCAGCAGAGGGGACAGGTGCACCCCGAGCATCCCCACGGCTTACCGGAGTCGGAGGCCACCAGGATGCCCCGGTCGGCCAGCCAGCACAGGTCGGCGACCCCCGCCTCGGTCTGCACGCCGGCGGTGCAGAAGCCCTCGCTGGGGGCGCGCCGGGGCTCGGCGAACACCCACAGCGAGCCGGTCCAGCAGCGCCCGTTCAGCCCGGAGGCGCCCAGCAGCAGAGCCCCGTCTGCGGGAGAGACACGAGGGGAGGCGCGGGGAGACGGGCGGGCAGGGCCGGGGAGCCCCGGGGAGCGCCTCAGGGCGCGCATCACGGAGCCTCAGGGAGCGCCCCGGGCCCGCCGGGCCCCGCTACCTGCGCGGTAGTGCGCGCGCTCCAGGTGCCGCTCCATGCAGGCGGGCGCGCTGGGCGGGATGTTCCACTCGGCGGCGGCCTCGGCCGCGAGGTCCCCATCCAGCGAGGCGGCGGGCGCGGCGCTGTCGGGCGGGGCGGGCGGCGGGGCCGCCTGAGGCGGCGGCGGCGGCGGCGGCGGCTCCTCCATGGCGGCGGCGGCGGCGGCGGGGCCGGCGGCGCCCCCACGTGCCTCCGGCGCCGCCGCCTGCTCTCGCGAGAGCGCGCGCAGCCGAGGCGGGCGCGGGGCGGGCGCTCTCGCGAGAGCCGCGCCGCCATCTCAGCGCCCGGCGGCAGCCGCGGTCACCGGCGGGGCGAGCTCGGCAACGCCGCTCCTCACTCAGGGCCCCGCACGGCCCCGCCGCTCCTCACTCACAGCTCCGCTGCTCCTGAGGGCCCCGCCGCCCCTCCCGGCCCCACCATGCTGTCCCGCCTGGTCCTGCGCGCCGGTGAGCCCGGGGGCGGCGGGCGGCGGTGCCGGTGCCGGCCGAGCCCTGCCCTGACGCTCTCTGCCCTCTCTTGTCCCCCCAGCCCCCGCCGCGCTCAGGGCGCTGCCGCCGCCCGTCGCCGTGGGGTGAGTACCGGGGCAGCCCCTCGGGCAGCGGGCGGGCTTGTGCTTGAACAGCGTTACTGGGGGGTTTGGCTGCCGTGTTTCTCACTGGGGCTGCGGAGCGGAGCGCTGGGAAGGAGCCTCTGGAGGTTATCTGGTCCCACCCCTTCCCGGAGGAGGTGTGGCCGCTCGGTGCCACCTTCGGATCGCGGCCCAAAGGACTCGGAGCTCATCCCGTTCCGCCGCCTGCCATGCCCCGGACACTGCCACAGAGCGGGGCCAGCCCGGCTTGGACTCTGCCAGCGAAGGGGCACCCTGTGCCCTCCGTGTTACCTACTCACTGAGCTGGAAATGTGCTTCAGCCTCACCTAGGGGTGCTCTGGGGGACTGTTTCTGTCTGGTTTTTAAGTAAGAATCATAACTGCAGTCTTCTCCTTGTTCACAGGGTGTTGCACACCACAAGGCCGCTGCACACAACTCAGCAGAGTTTGGCTCCCGTGCCACCTCTGCCTGAGAAGGGAGGAGAAGTTCGTCATGGTTTGATCCCTGAGGAGTTTTTCCAGTTTCTCTACCCTAAAACAGGAGTCACAGGTTAATACAGATGTTTGCCATTTTAAGCTATTTTTACATGGTTCTGTTTCCCAGTTCTGGCTGCTGAAAAGGTGAAATATTACTGAAAATGAGTATTTTGCATGTGCAGCGTGTGAAGAACAAGCCACTGCAGGACTCCTGGCTAATGATTGAAAGGATTCCACGAGCTTGATTTTGTAGAACGATTTAGTTGCCTGTTGGTCTTAAAAAAATTTAAATTCTGCATGTTTCTGAAGGAACAGAAGCAGCAAGTCCCATGTCAGGTGCAAGCTGCTTCCACTTGCAGTGAGGTTCCTTGTGGCACCTTTCCCAGGTGGAATTGTGGCTCTGCATTTTGTCCTGTAAAACAGAACACTTCTTCCTGACTTTGGGAGCCTTTAAAGGAGCTCCCTTTTAGGTACTGGAGTTCATTGAGCCTCATAGTGCTGTATCCAAGTAACACTGCTTCATTTCTCCTCTAGGGCCCTACATGCTGGGCACTGGCCTCCTGCTCTACCTTCTTTCCAAGGAGATCTACGTGATTAATCACGAGACAGCAGCAGCTGCCTGCATCCTGACTGTCATTGTTTATGCCATCAAGAAGTTCGGCCCTGATGTCGCAGCCTTTGCTGACAAACTTAACGAGGTAACGAGGAAACTGCAGCTGGACTTTGCGGTCCTCAGTAAGGAATGGTTCTGTTAAAGTACAGATGGCTTGCACTGCCAGAGGGCAGAGCTGGATGGGATATTGGGCAGGAATTGTTCCCTGGCAGGGTGGGCAGCCCTGGCACAGTGGGAGGTGTCCCTGCCGTGGCAGGGGTGGGATTGGATGGGATTGAAGTTCCCTTCCAGCCCAAACCAGTCTGGGATTCCATGGCTGGTTGTGAGCCCTCGTTCCCCTCTGCTGGCATCACCTCAGCCCTGGCACAGGACAGTTGGCATGGGCGTTTCCCACAGCTCAGTGCAGCATTTGAGGCTGAACTGCAGATCACCTGTTTTCCTCGCACCTGACCCTGAAGCGTGGAGTCTGTTTTCCTTCCAGGAGAAGGTGGCCACAGCTCTGGCCATGAAGAACGAGGCCATGCAGAGCCTGCAGACGGCCATCGAGGAGGAGAAGAAGGAGCAGTGGCGGGCAGAGGGGCGCAGTTACCTGTTCGACGCCAAGCGGGTGAGCGGGCACATCACCACTGCTGAGTGCCAGGGCAGCCTGCCCTGCTGGGCCCTGCCACTCCTGCCACTGCAGGGCCGGCTGCCAGGCCCCAGCCTCTTGTCTGCTGCTCCTTGCAGAACAACGTTGCCATGCTGCTGGAAGCCAACTACCGGGAGCGCCTGCTGATGGTGTACAACGAGGTGAAGAAGAGGCTGGACTACCAGGTGGCCATGCAGACCCTGAAGCGGCAGAAGGAGCAGGACCACATGATCCAGTGGGTGGAGAGGAACGTTGTTCAGAGCATCACGCCTCAGCAGGTGCTTGCTGGGTTTTGCCTGCTTTAGGTTTTAGCCTGCACAAACATTTGCTGTTCAGGGATCCTGACTCACGAGGTGATGGGTAACCTTGGCCTGGGGTGGGACTGGATGAGCTTTGCTCCCTTCCAACCCAAACCTTGTGGGATTCCAGGAATCTGTGCTTTATTGGATGTGAATCTCTGACTTCGTGAACTATAATTGCATCCCTTTTATTCTATAGCTTACAGGTCTGAAAAGGTTTATCTAGAATGTGCTTAAATGTCTGTTTTCTTGTTGAAATGTCTCCTGAAGGCTGTTTCCTGTCTCTTGCAGCAGAAGGAAAGCATTGCCAAGTGCATCGTGGACCTGAAGGCGCTGTCCAGGAGTGCCCACGCAGCTGTGTGAGCAGTCTGAGCCACTGATATGTCCCAATACCTCCTCTTGGAAACTGTGTGACTCTAAAATATCATTAAACAGACAAAACAAAACCCCTCTGCTGTCTTTACTAGCAACAGTACCTGCCTGTTTGTGTTTGAAGTCACTGGATGGTCACACCAACCACTACAGCTGGTTTATGGTGGGGGATGAGTTGGAACCACAGTGTGTGAGATCCTGTTGGATTCCCTGTTTGGTCAGGAACACTTCCAAAGATACAGAACTTCACAGAGAAAAATCCTGGTGCTGAAACTGATCCCTGTGTTAGAATTCTGAGTGATGGCAGCCCCAGATACCTGCTGTCCTTGTACACGTGTTCTAAAATCATCTAAAAATGATTTGTGCTGCCATTGACTGGCCCTGTGCTGGGAGGAGGTCTGGGTGAAAGTTCTTGTTCTCTAAAAGGAACTGGAATCCCCCTTTCACCATAAAACCTCGTCAAGTGTTGAAAGAGTTTGGGTCTGGGAAAAAAATGTTTGGGCAGGAAATGTGTCACAAGCTCCTGAAAAACTCCCTCAGCTGCTCGTGTCAGCACTCAGCCCAAACAGGGAAATGGGTTCGTTTATTCCAGGGGAGTTCTGGGCTTCCAGAACTCTGTTCATTTTTTATAGGAAGTGTTTCTGTGAAGGAATAGGTTAAAAACGCCAGCAAAGCACACACACAAGTAAACTCCTCCTGTGTGTGCTGTGATTTATGTCGCCCATAAACCCAAGTGGCTGGGGTGCCTGCACTCCCATTTCTCAGTGGGGTTTTCTTACACTTCAGTACATCAGCTCACCAAAATGCTGTTCTTTAGAGGCAGGAACCTTGCTGCAAGCTGGGGCTGCCTTACTTTTTTTAAACTAACAGTTCCAGAAAATGCAGGTGTCTTTCATGGTTTCCTGTTTTTTGTCAATTTAAATTTAAAAACTGAAGTTGCTTAACTTCCACAATTGTGAAAGCCCACATTTGATTGACATTTGAGTTTTTAGCTGGTGTGACAGATTGTTCTTACAAAGCAAGTGCTTAAACTGGTGTGCTGACACTTGGGGAGATTTCCAGCAGCACTTCCATGGTGGGAGGTAAGATGGAACTGTATTATTTCTTGTTTCTTACTGCAAACAGCAGCCTGTGAGGTTTGGTGTGGGAAACAGGGAGGTTTCATGGCTTGGCTCCTCTGCAATGTGGCAACAATGGGATGCAGTAGGAAAAGTAGCAGCAGCAGGGAACAGGGTGTTTATTTTCATGCTGTAATATTTTCACATTGTTCACAATCCACAGTTTGCAAAGCAAGTGCTGAGAAATACCAGTGTAGGGATTTTGTGGTGGAATATCTTTTAGAATCCCTGTCTCTGAGATTCCACACACAAATCGGAGAAGAAAGTTACTGTTCCTATTTTGGTGGGAAAAGTCAATTTAACATAAACAAAAACCTCAAGGGAAGAACTTTTCAAAGCTGCTTCTGATTATGCAAATGTTCATAGGGGCTTAGCTGCTGCAAAAATAATCCTGTGTGTGCTCTTGAGTTATTAAATATCCTCCCTTTCTGGGTGGAGAAGGCACCGTGCCCCTGGGGTAGCAGGGAACTCACTCGTGTGTTCAGGAACAGGACACTGGGACGGGGCTGGTGCTGCAGAACTGCCAGCTTTGAGTGCCTTTGTGACACTTTTATAAGACTTCCAAGAAATGGATAAAAACTAAATCAAGTATTTTGAGTTAGAAGAGTGTAACAAGGTTTTTTGCTTATGTGTACATGTAGATAAATATAACTATTTCCCTTTCTTTCAGCTTCTCTTCCTGTCAGTTAGTGCTGTGAGAGAATGGGAGGCATTTACTCAAAAGCAGATCCAGGTACTTTATTTTTTAAGGAATTCCCTTAGCTGCAGTGTTGCTGACTGGGTTGATGTCCTGCCCAGGGCTGCTCTGGGGAGGCTCAGCACTGGGGGTGCTGGGGAAGAACTGCAAGGCTGCCAGGGCTGCCTGGCACAGCCATCATCTGAGAGCAGAATTTTCCTGTCTGATGGTTCCACTTTCAGCCAGGCTGCACAGACACAGCCACTTGTGTGCTTCTAGTTGTTGTAGTACTACAGGAGAAATGTGCACCTTCTAAAACAAGCTTCTGATTGTGTTTTTTCTATTGCAGTTGAACCAAAAACCATTTCTACTACTACCACTGTCCCCAGCACTGTCCCCACCACCGTCCACACCCCTACAGTTGATTTCAAAGCTGCAGAAGCCAGATGCTGGATTAATAAGTAAATATATTACTTATTAATACTTACTTATGTATAAGTAAATGCTGCACCTTTATTTCCTGATTTAAACCCAGAGTTCCCTGAGACTGCAGCCTCCTTCTGCAAGGGGAGGGTTCTATATCACATATTTAACATCTTGGGGGGGTTAAAATTTGGTTAGCATTGCCTGGTCTGTGCCCTGGGTGGGTGATTCCTAGAGATGCTCAATGCAGATACACACACGTTAATCTCATGGGGCTGGGGATAAATGTTACACTCCATAAAGTTTGGTGAACTTGAGCACTACTGAAGCCTCAGTCCCTCTGTTAAAACTGGAGATTCTGACAGGATTTCCTATGTATCGACAGCCATGAAATACTCTACATGTCGCTGGCCTTCATCTCTGGCATCCTCCTGACCCTCCTGGTCTTTGCAATCATCTTCCTCTTCAGGAAAAGTGAGTGACACAGTCGAGGGCGTAACAGCAGAGGGATGGTGACTGCAGAAGTTACTGAGCTGCTCAAAGAATGTCTGCTGTGGATAATTGTGTGTTGGTGAGCAGCTCCTCCTTGGCAGTAACTCCTCGTGAATCATCCCAGCAGCGTTTTCAGGGAAGAATTAACTGTGCCACTGATGAATTGTGGGCTCTTGTTGGTTGTGGGCTTTTCTCATCCTAGTCCTGGCTACACTGAATTCATCCTGCAGGTGGGCAGGGACTGGGCAGCCCAAACTGCCCCTTTGCTGTGCCAGAGGTTGCACATCACCTGTGTGTCACCCCTCTGCCTGCAAACAGTGCAAGCACCTGCCACTGGCATCCCTTTCCTTCCTAGGTTCCAAAAGATCCCACCAAAATTTACAAGAGGAAACTTTATTCCAGATGACAGCTGAGGAATCTCTTAGGAACACACAGGTAAACGTCACAAGTGTCATTACTAATGCTTTCTGCAGATAGTTCACATTCCTGACAGTGTGGGAAATATTAATTTGGGGTGGGAGGGAGAAAAGTCACCTTTGAGACTCGGCTGTTACTCAGCAGTTCTTTGGACAACTTCAGGAGTTCTGGGGCTTAACCACGGCCAAGGCTAGGAGGTTAGGAGAAATCTTTTTCAAGGGGAAGCATTTCTGCAGTTTTCCTCTGTGATATTAATCCAGAACCCTGAACCAGGCTGACCAGTGGGATGAACCAGCATTTTCCAATTTCCCCCAAGCAGGGACAGCTGTTAAAGGTGTGTGGTGTTGAGGACAAGGTCCAAGTGGGAAATTCCTGCTGACCTGCAGTGCTTGTGCACTCTCTAATGTCTGTGGCTTCTCTCACATCCCCAGAATGAAGTGACCTACAGCACTCTGGTCTTCCAGCGGGGCAGGACACCACTGCCTGTGTGATGAGGAAGTTCCAAATGAAATAAGAATGTTCCCACTCTCTGGACATCAAAAGCCACGAGGATGTTACACCGAGGAATGCCCTGGGAATGCCCCCGTGCCCTCTGTAACACAGCTCTTTTTGTAGTTATGACAGGAAATTGTCTCCTGTTCCAAAGTGGTTGCCAACGGCTGTGGGCAAATGGAGAGTTTCTGTACAGGATTTCCTCGTCTGTGGAAATCTCCCTGCCCTTGTAAAGTTTCCGTTTGTGACAACTACCAGTGAGAATTGAGAACTGAAAATGTTTCTCTGCATCTATCCATGAGATCTATAGCATGCCTTTATGTTTCCCTTTTCTGTCACAAACTCTAATATTTTTCTTTTTTTTTGATTGCCAAGTGCTCTGCTTAGTTATTTTCTGGTATTGAAGTGATGATAATGAAATGTTTGGATCTCTGTGGCCTGGTTGGATCCCATAAAAGAAATGCACAATCACAGTGTGACAGCCAGAATCTCTGGGGATGTTCATTCACATGTTGTAACCACAGTGCTCCAGGAACAGAGCAGAACTCGTTCCCTGTGCCTGGGGGTGATTTTCTGCTCTGGCAGTGTCGGAGCAGGGCTGGAGGCTGGCTCCCCACCTGATGGCAGCACCAGGCTGGGGCTGGGCTGTCCCTGCTGCCCCCAGCCCTGGCACCAGCAGAGCCCCTCGGGCTGCGCTGCCTCCCCAGCCCTGCCGAGCCTCGGGGTGGCTGCAGAGGCACCAGAGCCTCGCTGCTCTGAAATTTGGTGCTGTGGGGCTGGCACAGACTGCTGCAGGTGCCACGGACTTCCACAGGCTCAGCAGGACCACTTGTGCCCCTTGTTCTGCTGTGCTCTGCTCTCACCTCAGCCCTGGCAGCTCCTTCAGGCTCCATGTAACAGAGAAAATTGGGGGAGCATCTCCCTGCCTCACTAGAAGGTGAGCTGGGGGCCGGGGTCCCCCAGTGCACCACCTTTCTGCCTTTTCTAGACCACTTTTATTATTTGAAGATGGAGAAAAAAAGAGCCTGGCCTTTACCAACCTCTTTTCAGTTTGACCCCTAAATGTGGGCTGTGTCAGCTGTGGTGTAGCTGCAGCTTCTGTGCCATCCCAGGCAGGACACTGACTGAAACTGGGCAGGATTTTTGTCATGGGAGAACTCAGCAGGCAGAATTAATGTAAAATCCATCTACTATTTATTATTACTGATAAAAATGTGACAACGCTGGCTGAAGCACAAGATGACAGACTCAAGTTTAGTCTGAATGGACAGACAAGAACAGGCAGTGAGCTTGTGAGCTGCTGGATTATCAACAGCAAAGAACATCCTGGTTTTCAATCAACTCAACCAATCCTCATGTTAAAAAACCCCAAACCCCCAACCAGACAAAATTTCCATCTTCTGTGTTTAGAAGTTGTGTTACATAAAGACATACATTCACATACAGCTTTAGAGCAGCTTCAGACCCACAGGTTGCTGCAGTTTTCCAAGAGATTCTTAACAAAGTCAGGTGGTTTATCAGTGGTAAGGGATAACCCGGCAAGTGCAACCTTTATTCCTGACTGTGGGTTTGTTTGCTCTGTAAGAGCGCCTGGCCCGGCTGGAGCGGGCGGCTGAGCTGGGGGATGGAGCAGCGCCTGTGCCGGCGGCGTTCCAGCAGCACCCACGCCCCACAGCAATGAGCCCGCCCATCCCATTCCTCCAAACAGGAGCTTTTCCGTGGGGACACCGTGTCCGATGCCACCGAGCCCGGCTGGGCTGCGGGGGGGTTCCACGAGTACCCCCCGTTCCCACCAGGGTCCTGCCGGGGCAGGCACAAGGTGCTCTGGCACTCCTCAGGTGCTCCTCACCAGGCAGCATCTGTTTCCTGCCGCAAACGGCGGAGCCGGGCTGCCGGGCTGCTGCGGCTCGTCTGCCGGCAGAGGATGGAGGGGACGAGCCTGCGCCCTTCTGCTGCCCTGCCCCGCATGAGCGCCGCTTTCCCCCGCGCCCCCCGGGCCCTGCTCCTCACCGCGGGGCCCTTGTCCCGCTGCCTCCCTCAGGCTCGGGACACTCGGGGCTGGAGTTCCGCAGCTGGCGAAGCCACGGAGCGCTGCCGGCACGGAGCGGGACGGGCCCGGAGCGGCTCCGACCCGGCCCCGGTTCTGCGGGACGGGCCCGGGGTGACCCGGGGTGACCCAGCCCGGTTCTGCGGGACGGGCTCGGGGTGACCCAGCCCCGGTTCTACGGGACGGACCCGGGGTGACCCGGGGTGACCCAGCCCCAGCCCCGGCTCTGCGGGACGGACCCGGGGTGACCCAGCCCCAGCCCGGTTCTGCGGGACGGGCTCGAGGTGACCCAGCCCCAGCCCGGCTCTGCCGCCGGCCCAGGCGCTGCGGGGCGGCGCTCGGAGCCTCGGGTGCGGTTTGGGGCTCCAAGGTGGATTTTCAGCTGCCGATGGGGCGGCAGAGCCCGCGGAGCTGCTCCGGGAGCCGCCCGTGCCGGCAGGCTGGGACCGGAGCCGGGCGAGGCGGGGATGCCGCAGTGAGATGGGGTTAAAGGCTTTGGATCCCGCTCCCCCAGCACTGATGGATTTGCCATTTAAAGGCTGTACTCGTTTCTTGGATGGCTCCGGCGAAAGGCTTCCAGCTATTCCCGAGGGATCCTCCTACATCCTGGTGAGATAAGGATCAGGAAGGGAAGGTCTCTGCAATCTCAGCTGCGGCTTTGAGCACAGATTCCCTTTTCACTTTGGGGGTGGAGGGGAGGAGAACAAATTTGCTAGAAAAAAATTATGTCTAAGTGACACGCAGAAAACAAAATATCCCACAACAATGATCTTATCCTGTGAGTCAACGACAGCCACGTCTGCCTTTGTTCTGCTGGGGCTGGAAACACCCGCGGGGAGGACAGAGCAGCCTCCTGGAAGGTGGGATCCCCGGCGGAGCTCCCCTCCTGCCTGGCACCCCGGCGGGCACACGCAGAGCCAGGCTGGCCCAGCCACAGCCCCCTCCGTGCTTTGGGACACCTTTCCTTGCATCTTTCCTGGGCCCCCTCTTTCCTTACATCCCAGCAGCTTCTGCTCCTGTGCCAGGAGGTGTGGAGGAGTTTTCTTCTGGATTTCAAAGCTAATGTTTACTTTAGAGGAAAAAGCCCCAGGTGACTCCTAAACCAAGCGGTGGCGAGTGGCGAGTTCTGTCCTGGCTCTTCCCTGCCCGGGAAGGAAGCGAAAGCAAGGCAGAGGGAGGATGTGAGTGTGGAGCACAATCCCAGCTGAGTGGTTGTGGGCTGGAGAATTACGAGCCAGAATGAGAGGCTGGAGCCTGGTGTGGGGGACAGCTCCCTGTCACTGTGCCTCAGTTTCCCCGTGCTAAAAGGAGGGTTAATCTGGCCTACACAGAGCTGCAAAGGGCTGGACAGCAGCAGAACCCTTTTGGTTTCCCTCTGAAACTCCCCAGTTGGGATTTTTTCCCCTGCCCCTCCAACAGGGGCACAGTGATGTTGGAAAACCACCGCTGGTTTTTCTCACAGATGCAAAAACCTGAAGAAAGGCCTCGTCTGGCACACACAGAGCTGTGCTGAAAGGCAAAGTTCACTGTCCTTAGAATGCAGGGCTGGTTCCAAAGATGATTTCAACTGCTGTCAAGAGCAAATTGTCAGAGGACAATCAGATCTGGAAAGCTCTTCTCCCCTTCCCCGCCCTTCCCCATCCCATTCCCTGAGCCTGGGCCGTGCTGGGCTCGGATTCTCCCGAGGCTTTGGGTTTCCAAGCCCCGGAGCCGGGGCTGAGCTGCCTTTGCGGGTCCTGCCGAGCCCCCGGGCCCGCGGGAGGAGCCGGGGCTGCCAAACCAGTACAGCCCAGTGCCCTGCTGGGACACGGCTGGGATTCCAGACTGCTCCCGCCGGGCACCCCCGCGATTCCAGGTACAAACAGGGCAGGAGTGCAGCGACAGAGGCCTGGACAAATCACATTTTTGTGCGTTTTGAAAGGAATTGCATTGTAACTGGAGTTTTGTGGAGTTTTCTCTGGGTGTGGCAGTGGAGCGGGCGCAGAGCGGCTGGCACAGGACCCCGTGTGATGCCAGCTGTGCCCCTGCACACGGAGAGATCTCTGGCAGCCCCGGGGCAGCCAGCCCCGGCTTATCCAGCTCTTCCTGCCCACAGCAGCCGGGCTGGGGAGGAGCGAGTCCCACGGCTGCTCCCAGCGGCTCCTTGGAATGTTTTATTCCTGGAGCTGCTCTCCCCGCTCGGTCAGAGCCATGGCCAGGCCTTGGAGAGCCCCTCCTGCGTGTGAGGAGGGGAAATCACCCGGGCTTGTGCTGCACTGCCCGGCCCTGGGAGGTGGCAGCAGATCCCTCTGCACAGCACAGAACTTTCCATCCTCGCTCTTCATTAGAGACTGTTTTAAAATTCCATGAAAGTGGCATACAATAAATCCTGGGGAGATGAAAGGGAGCTTTAAGCTGGCAGGAGCTCTTTAGAGAGGCTCTATTTACACAAATTGTCTGCCTGACAGGAGAGAAACTGTTTTGACATTTTATAAACTCTTCCACTGATAATTTTGCATCTCAGTACAGCAAGGCTGGGGGAGGCAGGACGGGGTGAAACAACAAAGCCAAGGCCCTGAGCTCCCTCCCCAGCTCTTATTCTTGAACACCAGCAAATTATTTAACTGCAAAGCACTGCAGAAGCAGCCTTTCTCTGAAAGAAAGGGAGGAAAGTGCCATTGTCTCACCGAGGAGCATCCCCAGGAGGGGACAACTCAGCTGGCACAGGCAGCACCCACTGCCACTGCCCTGCCAGTCCTCGGGGCTGAGAACACGGGGTGTAAAACCCATTCAGCAGCTTCTCCAAATCACTTTGTCTCCAACAAAGGTTGAGTGGACACTGCCAGAAATCAGCTCTATATAAATATAAGTGCTTGGTACAGGCTCACTGAATTACTCTGGATTTTGAGCATTTAGTGGCACCTCAGGCTACAAACGCTGCAGATTAAATGAATATTACCAAGGTATTTCCTAAGATTCTTAAGATTTTGGGTCATCCTGTGCAGGGCCAGGAGCTGGCTTGATGATCCTTGTGGGTCCCTCCCAGCTCAGGATATTCTATGATTCTATGAATATCTTGCTGTAATTTATTTATGAATCATGACTCACTCTCTGACTGGCATTCGTGGACTAATTCATCACTGTCAGCATGACTGGGGGAGAGAGCTTATATTTCCTCTGGATATCTTTTAAGTGCTTTTTTCCTGCCTTTATTTCCCTAATCAAACCAAGATCTTATTTATAGTGCTGCTGTTTCTGTCTGGGTAAGCCCAGAGTGGCCCCAATGGCTTAACAGGATTTATTTCCTGCAGCTTTACAGAGGGACTCGGTCCTGGGCTGCACTAATCCTCTGCAGGAGGGGGCAGAGGCTTTCCCCCAGGAGCAGCAATTCCAAAGGGACAGAGGAGAGCCACGGGCTCCAAAGCAGAGAGCAGAGTGTTCCAATCCCCCCTGATCCCACACAGGCTGCCAGAGCTGCTGGGCTCCGCAGGGCAGCTCGG